TGTTATTCTAAAACATGAGAACCAGGAAGACAAAAGGGTTTCATTTCCCACGCAAATTCTCATTCACTACAGTGGCCACTTAGATTGCTGTACTGAGGAGTATAAGGCATTCCGATTTATTAGGAAAGTTGTAATCTATGTCATATAATACCTGCCACAAACAAGAGAATGACAGCTGATATGCTAATTATTTGAAAACGTTAATCTGGATTCAGAACTACAATGAAAAGTCACTCTCTAATTTTTCCATATTGTAGAGCAATATCCAATTTGCTGCTTAACTGTTATTTCTGAAAATTGTATTCAAGCTATTCGTTTTGGGAATAAGGAAGATGATCCAAGAATAAAGAATGATTTGATGCCTACCAATAAAAAGTAAAGCACATTCTCTAAATCAATGTATGAGTCCATTCAACAGAAGGTCTATGACTTAATAACATTCACCATCACCATATTTACTGAAACACAGAGCTAAGGTGTTCCACAGAATCTTATAATGTAAATTTAGGCAAACTATGGTCCATATGTCAAATTCAGCATACTGCCTGTCTATAAATAAAGTTTTACTGGAACACAGCCACATATTAAGTATTTGTATCTGCTTTTGCACTACAACTGCAGAATTGAGTAGATAAAATAGAGAACACATGGCCTGCAAAACCAAAAATTATTTACTAGCTGGCCCTCTACAGAAAAAGTATTCTAACCTCTAATATAAATCATCTAGATACTGAATGTATAATCAACTTCCTAAATCACAACTTCATAAATCCTTTTAGCTCATGCTGTAACTTTGAAAATATAGGAAATCTGGTCAAGCTATCCTCAATGATGATAGTCATGAACATTCCACCCCTATTCATTCAGATTTATTTGAGATGTGCTCATTTTTGGACTACAAAGAACAAAAATAAAATTCTGACTTTACCAGTCTGGAGTATGGACTTGATTTACCTTTATGCTCAATGAAAAACAAGGGTTACTACACAATGTAGTGTAAGATTGAGGAAGTATATACCTATTCAAGACAGTAAGTTATACTAAATAACAATGATTTATAAACATCTGCTCTAACAACTTCAAATTGTCCTTACTACTCACTAGGAAACCAGTTCTAAAGACT